CTGCAATCAGAAGTCTTTCCTTGCCAAGATCACCAGTGCTTGTTCTCAGAACAATAAAGAAGAGACCCCATTTCACTTACATTCTCTCGTTCTTGTCAAAAAGATTCATTCTCAAGAACAGATCTTTTCTCACAGTGCCATTCACTAGAACTTGCAAATGCCAACTAAGTTCAAGAGCTTAAACATCACCTATAGCTCCTGATCTGCATACAGTTTAAACAGCTAGTCAATACCTGTAATAAATCAATTCCTTGTTCAATCAATAAATCCGCCATTTTTGACTTCAATAAAACCATCTGTCAATAGGAATATAAAATTATTTTTATATTGTTCTCATTCTTCTGTCTTTTTGGTAAATTATTTGTTCTCAATATTAAAAATAAGTTAAACATATTCAAAGTCTACAAACTTATTGTTAATTTTCAAAAAATATAAAAAATGACAGAGTTTATTGAAAAAGTTAATAAAGTTAGGTAAAAAAGGCCAGGTAATTGTTTAAGACTGTCCAAATGAGCTCATCAATTTCACAGAATTATATATGGTGGACCAATAACAGAGAAATTCCCAGCGATCTTACTTGATAAGATAAAAAGTAGTTGGCTGGGGCTTGGGAATGCTGTTTCTTCACATTTGAACCCCTTATATAGAATGCTAACGATACAAACCACAAAGTTAAGGCAAAAGATATAGATGAACCATGAACAAATCAATTGAAGATATATCCTTTCTTCTTGTCTTATAATCCTTACTTTCCATCCGAATGATTTACACTTGAAGATAGGACGTGTTTTCCAGAATATAGTTGATAATAAATTTTGTAATGAATAACTGATGTTCAGCACATCCTGGTACAACTTGATGAGGTATACTAACCAGCATAAAATGTTGGCAGATAAGAAAAGTACATTACTTGATCGGTCTAAGCGACTCCAAGTTAATGGAGTTTCTTGGGGACTTGTGTATATTTTTTGAGATTCTCGGTTGAGAATTATTAATAGAAACATCGAAGCTAGCAACATATTTCTAGATACTGACATGAATTCTAATATATTAGACATTGGCATGGCTAGAAGTTTTTAAGGGAATGAGACTTAAGATAAGACAAGCCGAGTGGTTGGAACATAGTAAGATTCATAGCAACACAACAAAGTGTATGCATTCTTATTGCTTGTAATGTTATTTTCTGGTTAATACTTTCATGCAGTGGCAACATGTTACCAAAATATGTAGTGCATGGTCTGTTCTCAATAAAATCAGATGTATTTAGCTTTGGCATTCCAGTGCTAGAAATTGTGAGTGGCAAGGCAATAAAAATGGTGGATTTTCTAGGGGAGATCAACACCTCAACCTTCTTGGACATGTAAAAGTTGTGTCTTAGATACGTTCAAGTATGCCTATATTTTATCTGAAACTAACTGTACTGACAAGGTCCATTAATATGATTTACTTTTTGCAGGCATGAGTAGGAAGGTCACGGGAACTAGCTGATGCTTATTTCTGTGACTCAGCTAAAATTATCTAAAATACAGCGATTGATCCATGTAGGTTTGTTATGCGTGCAACAACGTCTAGATGATAGGCCAAGCCTTATTACAGTTGTTGCAATGTTGAGCAATGAAGGCGTATTACCGCAGTCAAATCAGCCAGTTCTTTTTTACAGAAGAAGATGTAATTGTAGATGATGGCACAACTAGCATTAATGCAGCCTGTTCAACAAATGAACTCACCATTACAATTTACATGGTAGAAAGGATATTGTTTTAGACTTTACTCTGGTGCCGGCCCTTCAATTATCAGGTTTCTGCACCACAATAATGTGTACTAGATTCACCATTGTAGCACATTTGATTCTCTAAACTTTATAAACTAGGAGCCAATTACATTCAATAAACTCCATTGCGGCAAAACATTGAACAGGTAGAAGACAATTTTAGGATACTGAATCAAACAACTCCAGACAATTCAAGGACACATTACCTTGAAAGCAGAAAAATTCTCGTCAAATTCATCTCTTCGCGAAGATATAATCAGTTTAAAGAGTCCTTGATTTCACTGAAGAAAGTTGAATCACTCATCCCATAATAATTTCACGGGCTCTGTTTTTAAGGTAAGACATGCTTTTACATTTAAAGGGAGAAACCAAATGCAATGCTGACTGCTGAGCTTGAATTTTCCTCGAATCCTATAAATCTTATTTTACACTGTGGAATTCAGTTGATCGTGGGACTCTTAAGGTCGAAATGTTCAATTTGGACGTAGAAACTAACAGTTTGAAACTGTGGAATTTTCCTCCATGAATTGGTCTTAGATGCTCGCAAGTGAAAATATGGAGTTGAAGTGACGAATTATTCATTTTGGCACTCACAATCAGCTTTAACGGAGAAACTAACAGATATGAACGATAGGAGATATTCCGCAAAGTTTGGCTGATTTAGGGGGATTTTACGTCAAAATAAAAGAGTACGCGAGTATTAGGCAAAACAAGTAAACGTTAGAGGGTGTCTAAAAAACGAACCTTTTTCACTGCGCCGTTTACCAGAACTTTCAAATGTCAAATAACCTATAGCTCCTGATCTGCATACAGTAAGAACAGCAAGTGATAGCAGCAATAGATAAATTCCTTGTGTAATCAATAAATCTGTTATTATTCACATCACCTGAGCAATGAACCAATAAGAATATTACTTCTAATTATATTGTTTTAAGTTTTCCATTGCACATTCAAAGTCCACATACTCCCTGCCAGTTTGTCAAATTTCAAACAAACATCCAGCTAATTGAACAAGTCTATGGTAATCTAGAATCCATTCAAGTCATATATACGACAGTCCAAATGAGGTCAATTCAGTACATTACAAATGGTGGGCCAACAATGGAGAAATTGCAAGGAATATATTAGAATGATTGCTGGGGCCTAGCAATGCTGTTTCTTCAGATTCAAATACCATCTATTGAAAGCTGAAGACAAACACAAAGTTAGCAAAACATAGAAACAATCAGCCATGAAGAAATAAACATATGTCGTTTATTATTGAATGAATTGAGGAGAATTGAACTGAATTATTATTATTCTCAATCAATCGTACAATACATTGCAGATGAAGTATAAATAGAGAAAAAGCTAACTAACTAACTAACTAACTAACTTGTAACTAAAATAACTATCATAACTACTTCCGGTTAGCTCCAGTTATCTCCAGCTCAGCCTCTAGCATATGGTCTGTTACTCCCCCTCAAGATGGAGGTTAATGGTAGCCATCTTGGATAGTAAAGGAAACAAGAGTGAGGCTGTTAAGGCCTTTGTGAAAATATCCGCAAGCTGGTGTTCCGTCGAACGAGTAAGAGTTTAATAAATTCACCAGTGACCTTGTCTCTTACAAAATGGCAGTCTATTTCTATGTGTTTAGTACGATCATGAAAAATTGGATTTGAAGCAATGTGAATGGTCGCTTGATTATCACAAAAAATAAAGGTAGGAATGGCAGGTGAAATCTGGAAATCAAGTAGCAACTGATTGATCCAAACCAATTTACTAGTGGTAGAAGCCAATGCTCGGTATTCTGCTTCAGCAGAAGATCTAGATAAGATTGTCTGCTTTTTGGCTTTCCATGAGATTAAAGAATCACCAAGGAATATACAAAATCATGTGACGGATTTCCTTGAATCAAGGCAGCTCCCCCAATCTACGTCAGCGAAGGCCCTTAACTGAAAAGAACATTGTGAGGAAAACAAGATACCTTGCCCTGGAGTAGATTTTATGTACTGTAATAGGTGATGTGCTGCATCTAAATGTCACTTTCTTGGTTGAGATACCAACTGACTCAACTTGTGAACTGCGAATGTAATATTAGGCCATGTAATGGTTAAGTACAACAGTCGCCCAATTAGTCGTCTGTACATTGAAGCATCATCCAAAACATCACCTTCAATGAATTGAGAAGAATCTTTGGACCCATGGGTAAGGATTTTGGTTTGCTGGCTAGAAAACCGGTGTTTTCAAGCAGTTGAACAGTATATTGTCATTGAGACAGGAAAATGCCTTTAGAGAATCGAGCTATTTCCAAACCCAAAAAATATTTTAACTGCCCTAGATCCTCTAGCTTGAACTGGCTATGTAAGAACTTCTTTAAGGATTCAATCTTCTGATGATTAGGTCCAGTGATGATTATATCATCAACATAAACTAGTAAAGCAACTGCCAGTGCCCTTAGTAAACAAGGAATAGTCAGATTTTGATTAAAGAAATCAATGACAGATCAAGGCATTTGAGAACTTTGAGAACCTTTGTCTTGAGGCTTGCTTCAAGCCATATATCGATTTATGGAGTCTGCAAACTAGATGGTCTCCCTATTTTTTAGAATCAATTTGTTTGGTATACCCCAATGGAAGGTCCATATAAATCTCCTCAAACAAATCACCATTGAGAAATGCATTGTTGACATATAGTTGGTCAATATACCATTTACTTGATGCAGCTATGGTCAGGAGAACCTTGATTGTCACCAACTTAGACACAGGTGAAAAGGTCTCAATGAAATCGAATCCCTCATGTTGATTATACCATTTTGCCACTAGTCTCACTTTGTATCTGTCTATGCTGCCATCTGACTTATACTTGATCTTATAAACCTATTGCAGCCTATAGAGTATTATGCAGATTTATGATGGACCATGTTTTGTTCATTTTCATAGCCTGCAGCTCAACCTCCATAGCCTTTCTCCAGTGATCAATCTTGACAGCTTGATGGTAAAATTGAGGTTCAAAATTGGAAGACACGGATAGAAGAAAATGGATGTGAGCAGAAGAGAAACAGCTATATGAAATGTATTTGGAAATAGGATATGGTGATGTGTCAGAGACTTGTTTGGAATTCCTTAAGAGATTGCAATGAAAATCTCTTAGATATGAAGGAGGATTGAAAGTCCTAGAAGACCTTCTGACAACAATGAGGTCTATGGAAGGAGTTTGAATAGGGGGATTAGATTGCAAGTCATGTGATATGCTTGTAGTCTCGAGTGATATGTCAGCTGATGGGGTATTCTGTGGATCAATTGTGGGGACTTCTGAGGCAGGATTTGGAATGATAACAGGATTAGAGCAAGGAATATCAGATGCAGATTTTGGTAAAACAATGTTAGGGAAGAAGTCAATATTTTCTGGTGTCTGAATTGTGGAGTGAAAAGTGAAAGTTTGCTCATGGAAGACAACATCCTTGAAGATGAGAAAAGAATTTGAGGAGATGTCATAAAGTCTATAGTCCTTTATGCCTGGGGAAGGGGGGGGGGGGGTATCCAACAAAAATGCAAGCCTTGGCTCTAGGATGGAACTTTGATCTTTTGGAGGGTAAGGTTGAGGCAAAACACAGGCAGCCAAACACCTTGAGAAAAGAGTAATCTATTGAAGTTTTGAACATTAGAGAAAGGAGATGCATTATGTAGGATGGATGTTGGGGTTCTGTTAATAAGGTAAGTTGCTGTCAAGATACATTCTCCCCAAAATTTAATAGGAACTCGTGGATGAAAGTATAAAGCCCTGGCAACATTGAGAAGGTGTTGGTGCTTCCTTTCCACAACTGAATTCTGTTCAGGCCTCTCAACACAAGAGAACTGATATAGGACTCCTTTTGAATTGAAAGATTCAGTAAATTGTAACTCAGGAGCATTGTCTGATCTGAACTTCTTAACGGACTTATGAAACTGAGTTTCAACCATTTTGAAAAATCTGAGAATGATGAAAATAGCATCTGATTTGTTTCGACATAAGGTATACCGAAGTCAAGTGAGTGCAATCGTTTACTAGGGTCAAGAAATATTTATATCCAGAATGTATAGGAATATGGTAAGGCCCTTATGTATCACAATGAATTAAATCAAATGAATCAGCAGACATGTGATTATAAGAAGTAAAAGAGAGCCTCCTATGCTTGGCTAAGGGATGAATTTCACAAGGGACTGATACATTGTTCAAATCCTTATTACAAACCATATGTAATTGATCCTTCAACAAGTTTAACCTCTGAAATGACAAGTGACCAGGTCTATGACGCCAAATATAGGCATTCACATTGTTAACAAATGAAGAAATTGAAACATGATTATTTTGGAGCAATATGCTGCTACTACTGTGCATTATATCAAAGGAGTTATCACTCAAAATGTATAGATCAGACCATCTTTTACCCTTGTCAATCATCTTTTGGTTGTGCAAGTCCTAAATATAATAGGAATCAGTAAGAAATTTTACTTTAACATTTGAATTCTTAGTTAGAAAGCTCATTGACATCAGGTTGAATTTGAACTCTGGTATATATAGCACATCCTTTAGAATCAAATTAGGAGCAACTTTCACTATGCTAATAAACTTAGCAGAAATCCTTTCATGATTTGGCAGAGTAATGAACGCATTTTGTATAGATTTCATATCAATGAATGCAAAGTAATGTGAACAAATGTGACTGGTGGCTCCTGAATCCATCACCTAATGTTTAGGAGAATTAATCAATATCTTACTAGAGGTGGAAGAACAAGTACTTGACACTTGATTAGGACGTATGTTATTAGCTCCAGTGTCCACCTTTGCGAATGCTAAGTGATTATTTAGCATGCTCATCAGTTGTTGATATTGATCCCCGATTCAATGTCTGCACAAAATCTCCCGCATTATTTTGGTTTTGGTCTGAGATAGACTCAGAAACTTGATTAGCAACCATGTGATCTGGTGATTTGTTAACACCAGAGTGAAAGGAGTGAGGAAGTCTCTGTCCGGTCTTGTATCCAGGTGAACAACCATGTAACTTGTAACATTTATCAACATAATGGGTAGTACCACCATAGTAGGTACACATATAGGCGACCTTTCTTTTCTCTGCCATTTGTAGTACACTTGCCCAGTGTTGGCCTTCATGACATCATTTTTAGCATAGAACACCATAGAATCACTTGATGTTCCAGTGTTGGAAGTTTTGCTAACATTCCTTTGATTCTCTTCTTGGGATACAAGATAGAATACGTTGTTAATAGGAGGTATATGGTCTATGAACAATAGTTGCCCTCTAACTTCAGCATAGGAGTCATTTAACCCCACTAGAAATGACATCACGTATTCAGTCTGATAATGCTAAGCGAATTTCTTAGATCCACCACAGTTGCACCTTCCATAAAAGCACACTGGCCTATAATTATTCAGCTTCTCCTAGATTGTCTTCAATTTTGTAAAGTATGTGCTTACAGACGATTGTCCTTGGGTATGGTTCATTAATTCGCTCATCAGTTGAAAAATACAAGGTCCATTTCGCTGCTGGTACCTCACTTTCAGATCAATCCAGAATTCGTGAGCAGATTCTGAGTAAATGACACTAGCAGAAATTTCCTTAGAAATTGAGTTAAGTATCCATGAAATGACAATGTTATTATTGCAGATCCATTGATTGAGTAGATCCTCGTTGCCTTCTGGTCGAATGATTGATCCATCAATGAAGCCAATCTTATTCTTCACAAATAGTGCAATCACCATTGCCCAATTCCACGAAGGATAATTGTCACCGGTTAATGGCTGAGAAACTAGAACAAGCCCTGGATTATCTGAGTGACGAATGAAATATGGATTAGATCCATCATCAATAGTTGAAGAATTATTCTGATCATGTGCGTTAATTGTAGTCGCCATGACAGATCATAAATTCGATTGAATGAGGGAAAGGTGTGAGTTGAGAAGAGTTTATGCAACCGAAGGAAGCAATTGCTCGGATACCATATTGAATGAATTGAGGAGAATTGAATTGAATTATTATTAATCTCAATCAATCGTACAATGCATTGCAGATGAGGTATAAATAGAGAAAATTCTAACTAACTAAAATGTAACTAAAATAATTGTCATAACTACTTCCCGTTAGTTCCAGCTATTTCCAGCTCAGCCTCCAGCATATGGTCTATTATTTATTACTGTCTTACTATCCTTACTATCCATCTTAAAGATTTTCACTGCAATTGATACCATCGATACGACTCAGATCCTCAGAGATGGTGACTCCTAGTTTCATCTGGGGGAGTTTTTGAACTGGGATTTTTTAGCCCAGGTAGGAATCGATACATGAGAATTTGATACAAGAAGATACATGGTAATACCGTGGTTTGGGTAGCCAACAAAGAAACTCCACTGACAAATTATAAATCAGGCATCTTGAAGGTCATCGAGCCAGGCGTGTTGTCTCTTCTGTACAACGCTAATAACATCATATGGTCTTCGAATACTTCAATAGGTGCTCAAAATCCAATTTTACAGTTGTTGGACTCGGGAAACCTGGTCCTTAGAGAAGCAACAGACGATAATCTAGAGAATTTTCTTTGGCAGAGTTTTAAATATTTAAGTAATATAACTCTACCTTGCACGATATTTGGTTTGAATTTCACATTTCACTTGGATCCATCTCCAGGAAATTTCACATTTCACTTGGATCCAACTAGATATCCTCAGGGCATCTTAAAAAGAGGTAATCAAATTACGTGTAGAATTGGGCCCTGGAATGGCGTTCACCTTAGCGCGATACAAAATGCAAGGCAGGATCCAACATACACATACAGATTATTCATTAGCAAGAACAGGACATACTATTGGGAAGAAGCCATTGATAAATCAGTTATTTCAAGGGTTACTTTGAGTCAAAGTGGTGTCATACAGCACAGGACCAGGACTGGGTTGTGTACCTAAATATACCAGCACATATCTCTGATACTTACAAATTATGTGGTGCTTATGGCAGATGCAATATTTGATATTCTCCTTCATGTGGATGTCTAATAAATTTGTGCCAAATGATACAAAAGGTTGGATTAGGTTAGATTGGTCAAATGGGTGCATCCGAAGGACACCCTTGAATTGTTCAAAGGGTGATATATTTTTGAAGTATTCTGGAATTAAATTGCTGGACTCGCGATATTCCTGATTTAACAAGAACATGTCAACTGAAGAATGCAAAGTGACGTGTTTAAATAATTGCTCTTGTACGGCATACACACAATTAGATATCAGCAGAGAGAGAAGTAGACGCTTATTTTGGTTAGGAGACCTGGTTGACATCAGAGATCTGTCTGTGGATGGACAAGATATTTACGTTAGAATGGCTTCTTTCGAGTTCGGTAAGAATATGAAAAGTAATCAACCAGTCAATCAGTATCCTATACTAAACAAAGACCATAATTTCTTATTATTCCACCAGTTGGCAAACTTCTAATAATGTAGATGCGTTTACTTTTAGTCTAACAAAATTTGAAGGCCTTATCATGAAAGATTAATCAAATTTTTGTTTTTCTGGATAAAAATTGTTGCAGATATGAAAGGAAAAAGAAGAAAAATATTGATATTGAGTTTGACATCGTTGATGGGAATGATTTTGCTGGGCCTGAGCTCGATTCTGTATTATTGGAAAAAGAAAAAGAGTTACAAAAAGAGAACAAGAGGTGAGCATCCTGAGCCATTTCACTCTGAAGAAATATTAATCAAAAACAAGTCCAAGAACATAGAGAAGAACATATACATGCACATAAACCTATACATAAGCATGAAAAGTGAAAGCACACCTGACAGAGAAATACTCTCTTTCCAAGCTCTGTTTGCTAAACTATATCCTCCTATTACTCATGTTTCATGTTTCAGCAAGACATAACGAAGACCATGAACTGCCATTGTTCGACTTATCTACAATTTCAAAAGCCACCAACTTTTCAATCAACAACAAGGTTGGACAAGGTGAATACATGCATGTTTATAAGGTAAAAATGTGCACAATCTGTAAGTAGTTTTCTGAGAGTGCTTTGAACAAATTAGAGCAACATCTCAGAAGAATGACGAGACTAGTAAGCTTCATTTGAGCTGAGATACCTCATAGTTAACTCGTGTAGAAAATGAATAAATGTAATTGAGCTTCATACATGAAGCCAGAAATATAAGTTAAGAAAGAGTAAAAGATGAATTTCAGTAGAGTGAAAAATTCTTTCTACTTCAAGTTCATTAAGTGAATACTTTTTCAATTGCACAAGTTATGATCTTAGGGGACGCTGGAAGATGGTTAAGACATTGCTGTGAAAAGGTTGTCAAAAACATCCATGAAAGGACTTGATGAATTCACGAATGAAGTTATCTGTATTGCCAAACTTCAGCATCGAAATCTTGTGATGCTTCTAGGATGCTGCATTCAAGGACAGGAGAAGATGTTGATTTATGAATACATGCCCAACAAAAGCCTGGACTTGATTTTATTTGGTGAGGATTTTTAACTCTAGTACAGTCAGCTCAAAATTACCTTAAATTTGGAGTATTAATTTAATATAGAGACAAAATGAATTTCTACCACTTTTAACTAATTGCTTGAGCTATATGGTCAGCGGCATCTTAATAAACATGCTAGTAATTGAAGATTAATGCTAGTACAGAACTGAATCCTAGGTGATTGCATAATTATAGGAAAGCATTGTTCTTTTGGTACATGTACCGTTCTGCAATATGGCTTTCCAGAATAAACTTAGATTTCAGAATTAATATCTATTCTCCAAGCATAAGACAACTGGATAAGGTATATACTAACTCCCATAATATTTTGGAAGATCAAACAAGAAGTACATTACTTGATTGGCCTAAACGCCTCCAAGTTGTTAATGGAGTTGCGCGAGGACTTGTGTATATTCATCAAGATTCCCGGTTGAGAATTATTCATAGAGACCTCAAAGCAAGCAACATATTACTGGATACTGACGTGGATCCTAAGATATCAGATTTCGGAATTGCTAGAACTTTTCGAGAGAATGAGAGCGAAGTTTTAACAAGTAGAGTAGTTGGAACATGGTAAGATTCTCAATAACATAACACAGTGCATGCATTTTTATTTCTTGTAACATTATTTGTTTTCTAAAACTCTCATGCAACGGCTACATGTCACCCGAATATGTAGTGCATGGTCGGTTCTCAGTAAAATCAAATGTATTTAGATTTGGTGTCTTGGAGCTAGAAATTGTAAGTGGCAAGATAAATAGTGGATTTTCTGCTAAAGATCAACACCTCAACCTTCTTGGACATGTAATTGTTATCTTAGATATGTTGACATGCATTTTTAGAGACATTCTACTAAACCTGCTGACAAGGCATGTGGTTAAATTTCTACAGGCATGGATACTTTACAAGGATGGAAGGTCATTGGAACTAATCCACCATTATCTAGGTGACTCGGCTAATCCATTTGAGGTTCTACGATTAATCCATATGGGTGTTTTATGCGTTCGACAATGTCCAGATGATAGACCAAGCATGGCTACCGTGGTTGCAATGTTGGACAATGAAATTGCATTGCCTCTGCCAAATCAGCAGGGTTTTTTTCGCAGAAAGAGATGCATTTGTAGCTGAAAGTGTAGCTAGGAATTCATTCAGTGGGACAACCATTACCCAACTGGAACCAAGATGAGAGGATTCCATTTTTTTACGATTTTCTTGGCCCATTGATTACTATTTTGCTTATTTCTCTCTCTGTATTAGGACTTTAGCACCACAAAAATGTGTAACTGAATTTGCTGTTCTAAAATCATTTTCAAAGTGTGAAATGTTGATTAGGAAATTAGAAAGCTTAACTGCGGCAAAAAAATCGAACAGTTAATAGATAATCTTAGGATATTGAAATAAACAGATATGAAGTCGGATCCTTAAAAATAGTAGTTTAAAAACAATCACCTGGAAAACAGATGATCCTCGGCCATGTTGAATCCAATTTTAGTAGGCATAAGTCTGAACCACATGAACTCATCCTCGTTTCCTAAATGCAAGTTTTGCATTGAACTTCTTGACGTGATAATAGGTTCTGACTGAAACAAAATTGAATTACATGAATTGAAATGATATAATTTTTAGAATAGTGTTAAATCAAATTTATCTTCAATTTCATAGTAAAGAGTTCAAATTAATGACATCATGAATGTGACAAAGCTTCTTGTTATTAATTATTACTCTTCACTTTGGTCAGTTCAAGAAAGGATATTACATTTTTTGGACAAATATTTTTTTGTAGTTTTCTAGTTAAAGACACCTCTTTTATTTTCATGAAAAATTTAGAAAACCTCTTATTTAGCATAAATTTCTTTTTTTTAAAATTCTCGTTTATTTTATATTTATGCGTATTATAATTGTTGACCTCAGAAAATGAAAGCCAACAAATCAATGGGCCGCGTCATTGATTGATCACCTTCCTAAGCCGCCCTTGTTATCATTAGCTCTAGAGAAGCAACTTTATGGAGAAAGTTGCTAGTTGCTACCACCAAGGACTTAAAATATGAGGAACAAGAATTTGACTAGAGTCTCTAATAATACTTAATCTCCATATTATTTTCTAGGGGATATTTGTAGATTTCTCAAGTTATGGAATTTTTGTGTCTTTATATATATATTTTAAAAAATGTGATACCTCGCTATTCAAGGGTTTTAGATGGTTCAATTACACCCGATGTTACCTATGGGTCCAATTGTTACTTTCACGATATTCTCTAGATCACGTTTCATACATCCTCTTGTAATTCTTTTTGGGATAAAGTTATTTGTACATATTCCTTTACCACTTGGTTGACAGATGGATGATGTGGCAGTTTTGTAATTGTTGGATTAAATGTGTGAGATGTGATATGAGATTGTGCTAGTATAAATTCGGTAAGAACAGCAAGTGATAGCAGCAATAGATAAATTCTTTGTGTAATCAATAAATCTGCTTTATTCACATCAACTGAGCAATGAACCAACAAGAATATTAATTTTATATTGTTTTAAGTTTTCCATTGCCGGTCAATTATGGATATCGGCTCTCATTAAGATAAAAGTAAAGCATGTTCAAAGTCTATATATTGTCAGTTTGTCAATTTTCAAACAAACAACCAGTTAATTGAACAAGTCTATGGTAATCTAGAATCCATTCAAGTCATATCACCTCATGCAACGGCTACATGACATCTGAATATGCAGTACATGGTCAATTTTCGATAAAATCAGATGTATTTAGCTTTAGCGTCTTAGTGCTACTTGCTAGAAATTGTCAGTGGCAAGAGAAATACTGAATTTTCCACTGAAGATCAACACCTCTACCTTCTTGGACTTATAATTGTTATCTTAGATATGTTAACATGCATTTTTAGTGACATTCTACTAAACCTGCTAACAACGCCTGATATTGTGGTTAAATTTCTACAGGCATGTACACTTTGATCTCCTCACTATTTTCTGGGGGGAATTTTTATAGATTTCTTGAGTTAAGGAATTTTTGGTTCTTTATACTTTTGTTTTTCTGTTTTTTTTTTTTTGACATGTGACACCTAACTATTCAAGAGTTTTAGATGGTTCAATTACACACGATGTTACCTATAAGTCCAGTTGTCACTTTAACCATATTCTCATACACGTTCTTTTAATTATTTTTGGGATATAGTTATTTATACATCTACCTTTACCACTTGGTTAACAGATTGATGATGCGACAGTTTTCTAATGTTTGAATTAAATGTGTGAGATGTGAAATGTGGTGTGAGATTGTGCTAGTACAAATTCGTTAAGTTAAGGTGTAAATGGAGGTGCACCACAAAAAAATGGCTCCAGACGCCGATTTTCCATTCCTAAAGTAACATTATCCATTGCTAATCATCTTCACAAACGACAAATGATCAACCAAAAATTCGTTGCTAATTTGAGGGTCGCTGGTAATTACCAATGGATTTTCCGTAGGTAAAGTGTAAAACTTTTACAACATTTTCTTAGGTAAAAGTATTTTCATTACCGACGAACTTTTTTTTAATTATTAAAATTGATTAATATCAACAACTAATTTTTTGTAGGTAATAGCAATTACTTTTCACCTATCGAATTTCCATACGTAAAAGCTTGAAATATTTTTGTTGACCACAAAAAATGTACCTCCATATGGCCAACATATTCCTGGTCTTCTCGCGTCCACGTAAACCTTCAGCCATGCACACTTAAACAAAGTGTAAGTCACACATGGTCTTCTCTAAAGTGGGGAGAGGTGACCACATGCACTTCGACGATGAAGTCAATCAATATATAAGTGAAGCGGCCTGGGATGTGTTAGAGACGTGCCCCTAAGTATTGAAGGGTGGATCCATGAGGGTATCAAGTAAATATAGAGAAAGCAAAATTAAAGTTTGAACGTATAAAGTTGCATTACATTCAAATGACACAATTTTGAGCTTTTATAGTGGTGACAGAGAAATGGTGATTGTTGGATGAAGTGACACATGGCGTCATCTTGGCGGATGAGATCTTCTCCTAGGTGTTACTCCATCAATCCTAGGATGTCAGACATTTAATGATTCTGAAAGGTAGCTGTCCTAATGCCTAGGTTGGACATTTGATTTGTTGACTGGTGATTTGACTTCAAGTGTTGTAGTGAGATGTCATGGGTGGATTGTGAACAGGAAGATGCCCTTGATAAATGTGGAGGCTATAGGCCTCGCATTCCTTTTTTGCATCATACATAACAATTTGACTATTGAGGAGATATGGCACCTCATACTGATCACCTCGACTACTTGTATGGCCTCACTTGAGCCAGATGGGAGGTGACACGAAATGTGGGCCTCGTTGACTTGCTCAACTGGATGCCACGATGGTGATGACTTGGAGCCTCTTCGTAAGGGGCATAACATTTTTTTTAACAAAAAATGATTCACGTCATCTACATAGTATCCGTAGATTCAAATGTTAAATGACTACATTAGACTCCGAATATCCATTGATAAAAAGATATAGCCTCTAGCAATGGCAATTCTGTTGTTAATTGGTTACTTTTACTAACAGATAATCCGTTTTTGATTACCAATGAATGTAATCCATTGGTAATTATCAGTATGTCACATACGGAATATTTCTCAACTTACCATAAATCTTTCCTGTTAAAAAAAAGGCAAAAAAATACCACCAACTTTTGAACAAACTATAGAAACCTCCTTGATGTTTATGACGATTACAAAGACACCTCTTTGCTTTTCAAGAAAAAATAAATTAGAAAACCTCTTATTTAGCAAAAATTTTCCTTTTTTGTCATTCACGTTTATTTTATATTTATGCATATTATAATTGTTGACCTCAGAAAATGAAAGCCAACAAATCAATGGGCCGCGTCATTGATTGATCACCATCCTAGGCTGCCCTTGTTATCATAGCTCTAGAGAAGCAACTTTATAGATAAAGTTGCTACCACCAAGGGCTTAAAATATGAGGAACAAGAATTTGACTAGAGTTTCTAATAAAGCTTAATCTCCTTATTATTTCCTAGGGGATATTTATTGATTTCTCAAGTTAAGGAATTTTTGGGTCTTTATACTTTTTTTTTTGACATGTGACACCTCACTATTCAAGGGTTTTAAATGGTTCAATTACACGCGATGTTACCTATAGGTCCAATTGTTACTTTCACAATATTCTCTAGATCACGTTTCGTACATGCTCCTCTAATTCTTTTTGGGATAAAGTTATTTATACATATCCCTTTACCACTTGGTTGACTGATGGATGATATGCCAGTTTTGTAATAGTTGGATTAAATGTGTGAGATGTGATATGAGATTGTGCTTTTATAGTAATAGATAAATTCTTTGTGTAATCAATAAATCTACTATCATTCACATCAACTGAGCAAAGAACCAATAAGAATATTACTTTTATATTGTTTTAAGTTTTCCATTGCCGGTCAATTATGGATATCTGCTCTAATTAAGATAAAAGTAGAGCACGTTCAAAGTCTACATAGTCACTGTCAGTTTTTCAATTTTCAAACAAACAACCAGTTAATTGAACAAGTCTATGGTAATCTAGAATCCATTAAAGTCATATCACCTCATGCAGCGGCTACCGGTCATCCGAATATGCAATGTATGGTTGGTTTTCGATAAAATCAGATATATTTAACTTTAGCGTCTTGGTGCTAGTGCTACTTGCTAGAAATTGTCAGTGGCAAGAGAAATAGTGGATTCTCCATTGAAGATTAACACCTCAACCTTATTGGACTTATAATTGTTTGATAGAAAAACATAATATGATTATTGATCAAAACAATAATCAAATCTTAAATTCACAATAATATATAACCATATATCTTACTCCATGTTAAAATCCAAGAAAGTAACAAAACATA